TTTTATTATTGTGTTTTTTTTAAACAGTATCACCTACTGGGGTGACTTGGGATTTTTCAGGACTAATGTGTTGTTTTAATGTCTTTGTCTTGAGAATAAATAATTCAATAATGTTCAATAATATCATCCTTTATCTAAACAGACAATGTTTTTTTCTCTTTCGATGTCTTTATATTATTACAAACAAAACAACACAATTTACAGTATATTTTCTAATAAGGGGGAAACAACAGTACGTATTTACCTTTTTAATATTACTTAATCATAATAGTGTTGTTGTTTCCTAAATGCTCGTGACTTGTCTCGTCTCATCTTGTCATGCCTCGGTGTTTATCCAGGTCAAGGTCGCGTGCGCTGCTGTCTCAGTAACAACACAAGTCAAGACACTCCCTTTTGCAAACAACTGTTGCAAAAATGTCATAACTAAACCAACCAGCTCATGTGATGGATACTCCAGCTTTGATGTGGATTCAAATATGGACTGGATTAAATGCCTAATATCATACCCTAACTCTCAGCTATAATGTGCAGGAATTAAATCAATTCAAATTTCCTTTAAACAGGATTTCAATTTGTCAAGCTGTACCATTTAACATACAGTGCTGACACCAGTAGTTAAGACTTGTTATTTGTACGTTATGCTGTTTAGGTTATTATTAAGCATACTGTACCTTTTGTGTTTATACTTTTCGACACGTGCTATAAATACAGTGATGTCGTCTGCATATGTTTACATGTGAGCAGACCAGGAGAGTGGAGTTCAGCTCTAACGGAGAGTCTGAATAATTTGTTTTTGGAATAATAATGACGTACTTTGCAAGTGACTCGGATCAGATATGTTTGTGGAAGAACATTTACGTCACACCAGACGTAAATGTTAGAACTGCCCATAGTGCTGTTCACAGTTTGTGTGAAGAAAAAGTCAAAACCGTGAACGGGAAAGATTTCCTGACTCTAAATTTTTGACAAATGTAGGGTCAGTAGTGGTGGTCAGAGTCGTTCCCCAAAATTATTAAATCATCTTCACCTGCATGGACCTCTTCTTCACAGCTGACTGTTCTACCACTGCTTTTGGTTTATTTTCCTCTTTCAACAAACCTTTGAATCTGTCACGGAGAGAACAAAACTCAGGAGATATCAGTTTGTTATTCAGGGATATTTTCCTTTTTACTATGTGACTAAGAAGAAGTACGTGTTGTCTATCCAGGCTTCACCACCCTTCAGGTACCTCGCCAGGTTGATAAGCTTCCTCAGAGAAAAGCTTTTTGGCCTAACGATAATAATAACATAAATCGTTTAGCTCATATTTGCTTCTTACTCCTCCGTCCTCTCCGCACAAAAGCACAGTACTGACGTCCATCACATTTATACTGGAGGAGTACTTCATTTGACTGTAAATCACATGTCCATCATGTACATCTACTGGAGTCGGTTAGATTTGAGTCACAAACTCTGACTTATCTCAGCTGTTTCCAGCACAAAAACATTGGTTTCTATGCAGAGGTGTTGGTCAAAACTCCACATCAGGGCAGACGTCCATCCACTCCTGGAGGTTCTGAGCCGATCCACCAGGTTCTTTTTTTTTGTTTTCAACCATTTGTAAATTCATCCTTCATAAAAAACAAGACAATGATAGTAACGTCCCACTCATGTGCTTAAAGTTTTTTTTTTTTTGTTTTTTTTTTGCCGTGCAACATGAATCACTCCCTCCCAATGTGGTCAACTCAGTCGTTATTACCCAACAGTGTTTGTGCAGCAGACATCAGCCTGAATGGTAGCAATCAGACAGAGTTGAGTCAGTGTTAATCTAAAAACAGGTCTGTGACAGTCTGCACAGTCAGTCAGTATAAGAAAAAAAAATTAAAACTTGAAGTACCTCATGTTACATTGCACTTGTAATGATATTTTTATTTTTTTACAAATTGTATAAGGACCAAATATTTCGACCATTTTTGTAAGAAGAGCTGCTGTAACTACTACTGCCATAACTATGTAAGGAGATTCAATTACGAACTTATTTGATTGGACGACCAGTAGAGAAGATGTATTGCCGACTGGCGTACTGTTCCAGTAACGCATTCTCAGTGTTTCATCAGGATGACGAGTCTCGTGCCTTGAACGCGTTTTGCCTTCCTCCATATTTGGTGAGACGGCTCATTGCCACCGTTTGAATAATTAAAACAAATGCCTAAGTGGTGGTTTCTCCTGAGTCGTTCTTCAGATGACGACAACGATACTCGGGGATTCGTGTGAGGCATCGTCCCCACACCCGAGTGATGTAAATATTTGTGCAACCAGAGCACGGATAAACATTTACAGAACCACACTCAGCAAAAAGAGTCGTCCGCACGGTCCGAGGAATTCAAAGTATTGCTCGTGAGTGAAGCACAGTGATTTCCAAGAAGAAGCTCGTGTCTGGAGACATACCAAAGACTTCAGAGATGGAATATGTTATTGTGAGAATGATCCATATATGAGCATGATACAATCAGGTGGTTTCTCTGCAACACCGATACTTCAGACAGACTAACGCCACAACACTCTGAACGCCAAGACAAGTGAGGAGTGTTAATCATGAGCTAAATCAAAAAAAAAAAAACTTGGAGGGTCACATTTGGCCGACGGGTCTTGGGGTCATCTACCCACTGTTCTGGAAATTGAGTTTATCATTGTAAAATACTGATGTTTTAAGCAATCATCCCAGTGAAATTTTGGAAACAATTGCAAACTTCTGGGTCGGGGCCCCTGGCCGTTGTCTTCCGTGCCCACCCCAGTGCAGGGCCCCTGGCAGTATAACAGAAGCAGTGGGCCGATAAATCAGCCTGACCTGAGCACAGCCTGTTCTTTGTTGACATTGGAGCCAAGCAGCGGCGGCGGAGATGTGTGATCAGACCAGCCCAGTGATAAATCATGACTCAGCACAGCAGTATGATCAGTCGAAGCTGTTCCAACAGGCCTGGATGACAGCGTGATGAAAGAAACGTGTATTTCTGCTCACTGTATGATGTCATGCGTGTGTTTGCGTGTGCTCACCGTTAATGTCCATGTAGGGATGAAACTCTTTGTTGCTCAAACAGCGCTGTTTTTGTTTGGATCCTCTTGAAACGTGCTGTCATATGACGACTTGTTATGATCACAAACTTTTTTTTTTTCCCTGTCAGAGTCAATGTCTGACTTCACTGATCCTATACTGCCCTCTATAGGATAGAAAAAGAAATGAGAGTAACTTTAAATACTCAATAATTCCACTAGAGGTCAGATAACTTATAACGCGTGGATCAAGTGTCCACGTTCCCAGTCAGGGCCAACATAATAGTTCAAATGTTTATTTATTTATCTAATATAAAAAGTATCTTTATCTTTTATTTATATATGTTGTATTTATAATTATTTTTCTTATAACTATTAAAAACGTTGTTGCTGAAAACACTGAATTACGTCACAAAATTACATCATTTTTGTTTGATAATTATAGAAGTTATTTAAGTTTTTAAATATTTTTAAAATCAAATTTTTTATCAGTGGTTTCAATGACTTTAATGTTGTCATTTAGCCATTTCTCGACATTAAAGTAAACATTCTGCCCTTGAAATATGGAAAAAAAAAAGAAAAAACACAAAAGAAAATATATAATGTAAATATATTTTATGTCAAAACTGTAGATTTTTATAAACTTTCAAGTGCACATATATATTTCAATTACTACTTTGTGATGTCTTTGCATTTGTTGTTGGAATAAAAGCCGACGTATTGCCTGAGAAGATTTTACTGTTCAACAGAATATACAGTAACAGGAAAAATCTTGACACATAAAATGTTCCAAGACGGCAGTTAAAAATGACCCTGGATGTTTCACCTGAAGGAGACCCCTCGCCTGCTTCCTCTTTTATACTGATGACGGTTGCACAGGAAACCATTATTCTTATCTATGGGACAATAAATGAAAGAATAAACTGCGTTTAACTACAAAAAACAAGTTGGTGTTTTAGAAGGAAGTAGCTCCAAAAGGTTGGCGTAAAAATCAGGCTAATGTGTTGTTTTGTTTGATCCTAGGGGGAAAAAAAATCCCCCCGACACTACCTACTGGGAAACCGAAATTAACTGGAGGAAATATTCAGCCAGTGAATAGTATCAGTTACAAGAAGATTCAACGGTTATGAACAGGTTTCACCGCCAAAGTCTGATGCGTGTTTCTGGGGTTCGTCTCATTCTTCACTGCAATAAATATTTAGTGTTATTATATTTAAAAATATATATGTATTTAAAATAAGTAAGTTGTTGGTTTGAATTGATGCAGTCATGTCATTTTTGTTCTCTTTTTTTTCTTCTTTTGAATTGATGCAGTCATGTCATTTTTATTCATTTTTTTATTCATTTTTTTAGGACAAAGATTTGAGTAAAATCATGTCAAAATGAGTTTTCTGTCATTACCTGAGCAGCTTGACTCAACCTCAGTATGTTTCTGTCAGATGATGCTATCCTCGATTGTTAGACAGACAAAAATAAAAAATCAAATACCTCCTGAGCCCTAACCAAACTTGGACCATTACTTCCTAAATGACACTACAAACATCCTTGGAAAACGTGAAAAATGTGTTTATTCACTGCCTGCTTCCCAGTCTCTCCTTTCATGTTCCCGATGCTTTCGCCTCGTAATCTTGACTGCAGATGCAAATAGTCTGAAAAACGTCTCTGCCGAACATTTGCATTTAAACAAATAGATAAAGGTAATTTTGGAAAGCTGCCTCCCCATGGCTGCAGTGTGGGGTGGCATGTTCCTTGTGTCCCTGCCCTCCTGACAGGCAGCATGTTTAAAGCTCCCATCCTGGCACGCCACGCCACTCAGTATGGTGCTGCACACTGTGATTCATCGACTGTAGGCAAATACAGCAGGAGCAGAACAGAGACGCCTGTCACTGTGTGCCTGTGTGTGTGTATATGTGTGTGTGTGCTCGTGCCTGTGTGTGAGTGGGGGTGTATCCAACTGCACAAACAGCATCATGGACACAGGTGAGACACTCATTCCTACACAGATGATATCTGCCTGCAACAGAAAAAGGTTAAATGTTTTATATTTATGTATGTGCATTTATATATGTTAAATGTTTTATATTTATGTATGTGCAATTATATATTTATATATGTGTATATGTATTTTTTATACATACATGTGTATAAATATATGTATACATATTTGTCTGTGTATATTTATGTATGTATGCATATTTATATATGTGTATATATTTATATATGTATACATTGTCAGAATGACCGTCACTAAATTTCCAATAATTTCACCGTCCAGTCACTTATCATTGCTCTAATGTACAGCTGATTTACATGTCGTCATTTAAACACATTGTGGGAAGGCATCTTAAAATATCAACTCCAAGCGAGAGTTTGCGGAGTTTTCAACTTTCCGTCAGACGCACAAACTGATTGATTCACATGTCGAATGCGTTGTGAGCGACTGCGGAATTAATATAAATGAGAATGACTTCTCTGAAGTTTTAAAAGAAGCTCATTACGTGTTGTAAAAGCTGCCGTTAAGATGTAGAGAAATGATTAAATTCCAGCTCTGAAGCTAAATTTTGAGTTACACTTTCATGTGGTTTTTTTTTGTTTGTTTGTTTCTAAAAACATCTTCCAGTGATGCACAGGGAAAAAAACAACTTTTTTCCATAATTCATATCTTTATTCTGGTTTGTCTGTGGACTATTCCAGGGTTGTTGACTGGTGTAGTGTGTGAGGTTTGTTGTTGTATCTGTTTAAGTTACTGCTAAAAACCTAAGGTATCCCGCGGGCACCTTAGTAGTCCATGGGGGCTCCCAGGTGACCCCCGGCACCAGGTTGGTGACCCCTGCTCTAAAACCATATCATACAGACTTTTAAACGAACATGATAACAGATTAGCATGCAACGTGAACATCACCTGACGTGCTCCACAATCGTTTTCCACGATATATTTCACGAGGACAAAGTGGTGACAAATTTTTTTTTTTTTTATAAAAATAATTCTTCATCATAAATTATTTTTTGGGGAGCTTTTTCTTTTAACTTTTTGTTTTAGTCACGCAATTCTTTGCAGCTCTGGTGTAACGACGCCATATTTCTGATTCTGAATGTGATGACGAATTATGAGGTGTGATTTGCAAGAGCGTGAATATTTGAGTATTCTTTACAATATGCAATAAGATGCACTTATAATAACAAATGAGAAAATTGGAGAAAAAGGTTTGTCGAATAAGATGCACTTATAATAACAAATGAAAAGGAGAAAAAATTGAAATATGTGTTTAAATGGAATTGAAATTATTCCATTAGTATTTTTAATACTTTATTCAAATTGTTTTGGATTTTTAGAAATAGATTGTGCTTTGGTTGCTGTTATTGTGAGTGACCTAAAATATAAAGTACATTTCCATGATTTTTTTAATTTGATTTTTGTGTCATTCTTTTTTCCACCTCCTGTGTGAACATCTTTCTCATGTCGGCAAGTGTTAGTGATAAACTGCATCTTTTTGGTGATCCATTTGCATCGACCAAACCAAAGGCGATTTCCATGACATTTACACACTCATCACAAAGAGTCATTGGCCCATATGCATAAAACTGTGATACATTCAAATGAAAGCACATTTGTGGGAATGAATGAAAATCTGTGAAGTTCCTTAAACTGTTTCTCCATTTGTACCAGATGTTTCATCACAACCACTTTTCTTTCTTTCTTTTATTGTATTTTTTTAAGACTTCTCTAAGAGAGTGTACCAAGGGGTCCGGGTCAAGCATACCGTCAAAGACCTGCTGGCAGAGAAGCGGTCCAGACAGACAAACGGACCCAGATACAGCGTAAGCACCGTCTCCTCTAAACTGCTCTGCTTTTTGTCCTGTCCTGTCTCTTCCCACTTCATTTGTCTCCCAAACCCAACAGCGCAGCCACAGTTGACATTGGGTTTGGCGAGACAATTACGAGGTCGTATTTTTAAAAAAAGAAATCTCCTCCCTGTGTTTACATTATGGTCTGTTTTGTGGACTAACGATCCTCGGTGCGTCCATTGATCAACTCTGCTTCCCACTCTGTGTCTGTCGTCCCTCGAGTGCTTGCAGAGCCCATCGGTAAATAGCCAAATGTGTTGTGTTGTGAACAGACACAAAGCGTCACAAAAGAGCGCTGACACAATACTGGCAGCGGCGGTGGCCGCAATCTCCCAGAGACTGGCCTGAGGAGGAGCAGGGTGTGGTGGGAGGATTTGAGGTGGACAGGGAGCACAGAGAGGGGCAGAAAAAAGGGCCAGTGCAGGAGGTTGCCTATGCAAAGTTTGCCAGCGCACACCTGCCAGCTCACATTATCCTCCGCTGTGTACAGGCCGCACACAAGCTTCCTATTGTTGTCCCAGGAGCGAATGCTAACACGCACACAGTCGGAGAACCCACGTCAGACATATCTGCGTGTACGTGCAAGACAGGCTTTTCACTGTCTGTCAAAGGGCTTTCATCCGGACGCCATTCACTGTTGGGTTTCTGTTGATCATCGGCATGTCAACTCCATAGATATGCAGGACGCAAAAACCACACGGTCCAAGTGGGGTCTGTGAGAGAGACAGGAGCGAAAGTACAATTAGATTTGACAAAGGAAGTCCTAAAACGGCGTTTTGTCAATGTCCTGTTTGGTAACTGCAGCACATGTAGCAGAGTGAAGTGAACCATCGTGCAAACACAGTATAATAGTAACAATGTGATGCCTTGATAAAGCCGGGATCACGACATTTGAGGACAGTTTTTATAAAAAAAAAAAAGACCTGAGATGGTTTGTTTGACACGCAGAGTGAAGACTGTCCTTTCATTTCAGAGCATCAAAAATCCTCTACAGCAGTGGTTCTCAAACTTTTTCTACTCTGTACCACCTGAGAAAACACTGATCTCTCTGAGTCAGACATAGCTGCTGATGATGACCAACATTAGAATACAGCAGCACCACACAGAAGAGATGTTTATAAAGATGTTTAAATGTTGTATTAATTGTACATGGTATTTTAGATTTATTCAGTTAAAATGTAAATGTGAAAATATGAATTTCCCCTGCGTACCACTAGAGAGCGCTTGGGTACCACCAGTGGTACGCGTACCACAGTTTGAGAACCACTGGTCTATAGATATGAGAAATGACCGTGCCTGTGGAGACGGCAGTGGACTTAGAAGGGGGAAGTAATGTCTCAGTCAGTGAGTCCACAGAGCTGAAGGAACCAGGTTTTGTCCTTAGTCCTGGACGGGCTGTTGAAACCAGTTTTCTGATGCAGGACCAGAGTAGTATTATGGTGTATGATACGTTTGAACCCCTGTCAAACACTGTTGTTGTTGTACATTTATTCACAGCTATTCACACCTGCAGCACAGTTTATTTCACACCTCTGACACATGGTTTTATTGCTGCTGACACACGTTGTCAGCCTCACAGGTTCTAATGATGCCTGTCATGTACAGCAGGCAGTGTTGGGATCACAAGCCTCGTCTCTGTTACAACCTAGGACGAATGGAAGAATAGAAAAACACAGCTCAAATCAAAAGAAGTCTATCAGAACTAATCCATAAGGTAACATAGTTAAGCCCAAACAAACAGCCAAACAAAGGGTTTTAGGAAGTAAAATGCATTTTAACTAGTCCTAAATGTTCTGTGTTGGATTAGCTGAGGAAAGTCCCGACGGACCGACAAAGAACAGCCTGGACATGTACCAACATCTGATAACGTTACTCTGGAAATGTCCAAAATAATCCTCAGGCGTATTTCCTAGTTGATTTTTCTTTTTTTGGGTAGGTCCAAGTACTCTCAACATGGTACTTTACTTCTACTATTCTGAAGAAGTGTTTTGATAAAACAGAGAAAATGTGTGAAAACGTGTCTGGATCTGAACAGGTATTGTAGTATTTTTTAAAAAGCTGTCCTTCAGGTTGGATCAGGGAATGTACTGCATCCTGTTCACACTCCATAACTCCATAACTAATACCACTTATTGTTACTCAAATACTCAGTCAATATACATGTTGTCATTTGTACATACTGTGGGGAGACGTTTTTGTTTCACTGGAGCGCCTCAAGCCCAAGTTGTATGGATGAGGGCACATGGGTAATTTTAGGACTGGCTCAACATTATATTTTAGCAAAAGTAATTTTATAATTCAGTAATTTTAACATTACTGAGGAACAATAGCTGATTAATATCATGTGTGATTCCAGTTCATCTTAGCTACAGGCATCACAGACACTCATAAAGAGGCAGGTGGAATGACATTTAGATTCCACAGAACATGAGCTCACCTGTCCTTGTGGTTTGCAAAAAAAAAGTCTGATTTCAAAATGTGATTAGAACAGAGCGCTAGGATGACAACGACGGTTCCTCTTTGGACTTTTTTTGGATGTTTCATTATCGAACTCTGTGATCTGACATTACCTGTGCTGTCAGTGACACTGACTAAAGGATTTTATTATTTCTATATATATTGTGAATTCTTTTTTGTGTTTTTTTAATCACGGTTCCTGTTGACAGTCAGGGGGTCTGACTTTCATTGGCTTTATGATACAAAATCACATCTCACCAAGGCAGCAGTGTATGTCACAGAGCATGCTGGGATGTCAGTTGCTTTACTGAACCGTGCACAACACCTGTGTAGAAGCATGTGTGTTGTTTATTTTAGCCGACTCCTTTAGTTTGTCGCCCATCTGTACCTGGCCTGTAATTCAGCACCTTTTCACTGCGGGGGTCATTTGGGCACACGGTTCCAAAAAAGACCAAAAGTTGTACAGAGACACACAGTAACTAAAAAGCCGCTCACGTCTTTGTGTCAGTTAATGCCCTTCTTTTATCCCGGACAATAAAAGAGCATTGAGAGCGAGCTCTGGCCACAGACTGAGTCGCTTCATGTGGGAGGAGGGTGAGTCGGGTGAGAACATAAAGATCTCACATCACGTCTCTTCCCTGAGGTCATATCTATGAAAGCCAACTGTCCGGACATGCTGCCTTTACATAAATGACCCACGACATGTACTAATGAACGCTGTGTGTGTGTGTGTGATGAATAATGCTAACAACTGGAGTGTGTTTACTTATGCTGTTTTTTTTGGGGGGGGACGATGCTAATGTTAGCTGTTGTGTTTTTTTTTTTTTTGGACGATGCGGAGTGTGTTTACTTATGCTGTTTTTTTGGGACAATGCTAATGTTAGCTGTTGTGTTTTTTTTCTATTTCCTTACTACATAATGACATCAACTAAAGCTAACAGGCTAATGAGGCTGAAGTGTTTTAATATTGTTAATAGTTTAAAACTCATATAGATTGAGTCAAAGTCCAGATCTTCATCTGTTAAAAATACATTTCTGGGAGTTTCCAACAAATACAGTAACGTGTTTCAGTATCACTGAGTGCAGAGGGGGAAAAAACTCACCACTGAATTCACTAATGTGTGAATTTCTCCTTCTCATTGTCCAAGCTGTTTGCCCCAGGGCAGATGGTTAGACCGTAGCTTCTCTCTATCAGCAAGTACAAAATTTGCATTTCAAAGTCTATAGATCTGATTCCTGAGGAGACACCTCCGTATGTTTACCTTGGCAACTGTTTATAATTTTTTTTTATTATTTTATTGTTGGCGTAAGAACATTATCAGGCAGTGTTTGTACAGGCAGCCACATACAGTACCTGTGGTAAAGTCCATGTACTGTGCCTTTTATATTGCAGTACTCTGTGACCTCAGGTAGCAACTCTACGTGTTGAAAAGTACTCGCTTTGTCCTTTAGAAATTATATAAACAAGAATTTTTTTCTTTTATTTCACCACAGACAACTGTGTCAGCTGTTACTGACACACACCTGTACATCGGGTGTCATTCTTACTTAGAGCTGCGTCGTGAATGATCACCTTGTTCACGTTAATCAGGAACTAAATGTTTATTTCTGCACAATAAGATTAAAGAAAATAAAAACAGTCCCCGCCCTTCGCTACAACAAACAAACAAACACACAGACAGACACACACATGTAGAGTCTCATCCTCTAAGGGTGAGGGCGCTGATTTGCATACGCAGCCTTCAGAGATGCACTCAGCCATACTAGGGCTGCATGCGGAAGTCTTGGCACTGGCAAATCGCATTCAAATTTCGACCTCAAAATTTGTTTGTCTCCCGACCAACGCAGGCCTTAATATCAACTAGTTCATGTTAGCATTATGCAAACATAGCTAGGTCACCAAACTTAATCTTTGTGTCACTCCGAGGGACTCTGTTGGTATAAAAACAGTCGCAGTTACATTGTTTTTGAAACATAGGCTAAAATATTGAAGATGTCACCAGTGTGGACTGGTCCGTCAAACCATGACGTCCTAACTACGCTACGTATAGCTTTGGCTGTAGCATGATACAGTGTACAAGTGAATATGTTTGTAGTACCATGGATGACGTAGAAGTAGTCCTGTTAGACTGGTTCACCAGTTTGGCAAGGCCGCTTTTTTTTTTTTTTTCACAACGCCCCCAAAGAACTGTAAATTTAGCACGTTCTTATGCTAATTTGACTTATATTTTGGGGGGAGGGATTAGCTTGGTGTGCTATTAGCCATCTGATCTTTGGTTGAGGCTTCTTGTAAACTTGGTCTTGATACCTAGAGCTGTCTACACTTCCCTCAGTAGGAAGATGGCACACCTGTAGTGTAATGCACTATAGGCTGGACTAGAAAAAGCAACATTCATCAGCGTATCATCAGCGTATCAGTGAAGTGAGTGTGCTGTGGGAGGACACGCTGTAAATGATCCAATACTGTCAATAACTTCATCTCTGTTCATCTATGCAACTGTGAAAAGGCAGGACAGGTATATACTTGTCCACTAGGTGGCGACAGAAGACAGATCTTGGGTTGTTAAAGAAGACATTAATGTGTTTTTGTACATTCTTCAATTCCTTGAGTAAATCAGTGTTGTGTTCGTCTAAGATGACCCAGATTTCACACTGGGTTAATAAATGTGAATATGTTGAATCATTTTATTGCATTTCATACACTTTTTAAAACTATTTTGTTTGGTGTGTTTGATGCGCCAGGTGCATATGTGTGCAGTGGAGTGGATAATAGGAGTTTTGCCAGTAATTAAAACAGGTTTTTTGTGTGTGTGTCTTTGTGTCACAGGGAGGATCGACCACTCCACCTTCATTTGTCCAGATGCCAGGTTAGAATCGCCAACCGATGACCTTTAACCTTAAATACATCTGCAAATGTAGCATGTATTTACATGTATTTACATGTATTTACAAGACAGTGATTCTAAATCAATTATAATGAATGAATGGGGGGGTGGAGGGGGGGGGGGTCATCATGTATTAACCAGGGAGGTGAACAAAGTACTGATCACACAACAGTAGCTCTGTTCTGCTCAGTGTTAGGGGAAAAAAATATAATGGCAGCGTTTGACATTTTGGTGCCTTTGGCAAGATTATGGTTTGGTTTGGTTTTTCTTTATTCATTTTTATATTCCCAGCAGGATCCCACATGCTGCCCAGTTACTACAGCATGAGGCGTCCCTTCATCTCCGACTCGGACTTCTGTCCATCAGCCAAGCAGTTCTCTCCTGACATCTACTCCTCCACCCTGGGGGGTAAATCTCTCAACTGCGAGTCAGCCACAATGTCCAGCTACCCCTCCCTCATCGACAGCTACTACCCAGAGGCCTTTGGTGATTATCGCAGCGCCACGGCCTTCTCTAGCTCTGGAGGTTCCTTCCTGCCTTCATCAGCCCTGTCTTCTCTGCTGCCTCCCTTCAGTGCAGAGACCTCACATCTGTTTCTGGTAATACATTAATTTTGCTGAACACGATGCACGGTCGGTTTGTCAGAATGGCCGTCGTGGAACCAAAGCTATGCAAATACCAGTTCATGACGTTTAAAAAAAAAAAAAAAAAGAATTAGGAAATGTTGTTTACTAATTCAAATAATACTTAAGGATAATTCTGTCAGTAAATTGAGTTCAATATTGACTTAAATATTATACTCTGATATACCGATACTTTATATGCTAACTCTCCTTTCACCTGACCACAAACACAGGAGAAGAGTTTGTTTGTTTGTTTTATGTGAGTTGACCTCATCATTTGATCACGTTCGTGTTACTGTAAATGTACATCTGTACTACTGATGGTGGCCACTGGGTGGGGGTATAAGACTAAAGATTCGGTTTTTACAGTATTATTTACACGCCGGGGGCTTTTTGGGTCCTTCATATCCGGACTTGCCCGCGGGGTAAAACTGTGATGAATCCCACAGAGGTCCAGTCAGAGGGACGATGAGAGTCCTGGAGTTTTATATTTTTTCACACCGTTCGTGTATTATTTTTAAAAACCTTATATTTTTTCACACCGTTCGTGTATTTTTTTTAAAACCCGCTGAAATCCTTTTTTTTGTTTTCTACAATATTTACGAAAATCAAATCACATGTTGGAAGCAGAATGTTGAGTTTCAAGGTGAACTGTTTGAGCTCCTGCAGAGAAGGAGGAAAAGAAACGGTCATTTTGTGGCCTGGAGAATGAAATTTGAATTCATCTAACACAGGTGTGGGCAAACTTTTTGACTGTCGGGTCACAATAGGTCCTAAAATTTGAGAGTACGGCTGGGTCAGGAGCAGATAGACAGAACTAAGATAAATGACCTGTAAACGTCACAAAGGCTTTTAGCCGACCTGTAAACGTCACAAAGGCTGAAATGCTTTTAGTCTTCTCTATGGCCATCTATAGGGAAAATGTGTGCATTGCAGGGAAGAGGCAGAAGTAAAATCACAATACAAACCCATTGTATAATTTGGACAAGTTTGGCTGGCCAGATCACAAAGCTGAATGGGCTGCATCCGGCCCCCGGGCCTTAGTTTTCCGATGCCTGATCTAACAAGTTTCATAGCAAGTGAATTGTCTTTGACAACACTGTGGCACGGATTCATTTCATTTACTGTAGGAAGACTGTTGTGGTTTGTTACAACGGTGTTCACAGAACAAAACGACTAAAATATTTTTCTCTCCTGATCCTCCGCCTCAGAGAGACTCCTGGGAGCAGTCGGTTACAGAGTCAGTGTCCCAGGTAGAGACTCTCTGTCCAGACAGCATGGCCTCAATCACGGTCCCTCCGTCCATGGCCAGCCCTGAGCCTCCAGACAGCCCGTCCCCGTTCCGGTCCAACAGCCGGGGCTCCACCATGTGCTCCGTCCCCAGCAGCCAAAGCTACACCCTGCACCCTCTGGAGGACAATAACTACCACTCTTTAACCACCACCAGCAGCAACTACCCCGTCCTCTCCTCCTCCTCCTTCTCCTGCGCCCCCTACATGACCAGCCCTGCCAGTGACCTGGTGTCCAAGATGGTGACGGAGGACAACGACGGCCACGGCAACCCTCCGCCCAACAGTGAGGCTCAAAGCTCCTGGGCAAAAGAGGATGGAGTGAGCCCCTGGTCTCCCTATGAGATCAGGAGGGCGTACTGACTGGACGGAGGGGAAGAAACTGCCACAGACCCTGATGTTACCACTCCGACGACGTGATCTTATGTCGTGACTTAAGTTTGTTTTGATTTATGTGAAAGGAGTGAAAAAAGGAACTTGGTCTCAATGGGGGGAAAAAAAAGGAAGGAAATGTTTTAGACTTATATGAAAAATCCTAGTGTATACTATAATTTTTTTTTGTAAAATGTAAAAGGTCAAGTGTGTAACTTTGCATGAGTATGAAGTATGTATTTACTAAATAAAAAAATACTTTTAGGCTAGAAACACAATGTGATCCAGCTGAACTTTAACGAAGGAAAAGACATTTCTTTGTGACATTGTTTAATTGTCATAGAGCTGTTATTGCTTTTAGAAGTTTTGGCTTTGTGTTAACGACCGAAGTGATCTGAGAATCAGAACATGTCACTGTTTGTTGACTCCAAAAAGGTTCAAAATATTCAACTTCCAGTCAAGAAACTCTCCAGACAACCAGTGTGTGGCCATGACTTCAGTATATATATCACATTTTCTAAATGCAGTTCAAACAGTCTTTAAATACTTTGAAGGATATCAAGGGAAAATCAACGAGACTTGTCCTGGTCGTTCAACTCTCTATTTACTCTGTTTCTAACTTAAATAAATGGTGATTTAACAGTTCTGCTATAAGATTCTCCATGTGTGTTTTATATATTCACAGGTACTGATGCAAAAAGGGTGATAAAATAAAATTCATTATCAGGATTAATATATTGCCTCAATACATTTTGACCCTAATGACATTAAAGACTTACAGTCATCGAGTTTTATTCGTTAAAATTCTCATTGAGCTTTTTTAGGAAACCATCGAGTTTTATTCGTTAAAATTCTCACTGAGCTTTTTTATGTTTGTGCTCAGTGTCCTATGAAAGCATAGTGGAAGATAAGTTGACTTAAAGATTTCAGAATTGCGTACCGTCGTTAATGGGTTTCGTGAGACGATGTGGAGGTTTTTGAACACTAGGTGGCGCCGCTGAACAGCGCACGCAAAGAGCGCAGCGCCGCGGATTAGCTGGAGGCAGAGGGAGGAGAAAGTTTGTTGTAAAGTAGGGAACGAGTGCAGAGGATGAGAAGTGCGACTGTGTTGGTGATGAAGTGGAGAAGAAAGTCTCAAGACATCATCACAGATGAACCAAAGGAGACCGGGGCACGAGAATAAAACATGTCTGGTCAAAGTAGTTGTCATGATAAGAGCTGTGCAACGATCACAGCTAATATTATGTCTCAAAGGAAATTTGACATTAAAAAAATATAATAAATGTAACTGTGGAAAATCAACAAATTTTTGGTGTTGAAACTGAAGGAGTACCATTGGAAATGTCTTTAGTCGATTTTGTTTGTTTCCATACACCACATTTGAAGTTAAACGACAGGCATTAGAAATACAAAAAAATGACAATAATTTAAAAAATAATTCGTCCACACAAATACATGAATAAATATTCATTTTATTCCTTTTCTACCACGAAACAAAACGAAATCATTCACAGCAACAACAGCTAACAAGGAGCACGGACGGAATTATACACATGCAGAAGTCAATAAATAATTAATGATTCAATAAAATATTTCAAGTTAACAGATTTAAATTAAAGAGTGCAGTCGGTAATTACAGCCTTTGGTTGATGCCGATGTTTCCGCACGTTGATTTAAAGGCTTTAAACGCGCATTAGCTCTAAATGTTCAGTCATTTTAAATCATTAGGATTTGAATAAATGTAATTTTTATTTATACATTGACTGGGGTTCAGTTGTCCTCTGCTGAGGATGTGGTGCTGCAGCTGAAGGGTGGGTTTTTTTATGGATTAAACGTCCTCTGCTGAGGATGTGGTGCTGCAGTTGAAGGGTGTTTTTTTTTTATGGATTAAATAAAAAAAAAAATCTGCCCCAATGAGTGGAACCATCACTGACCAATTTAATCTATATTTGTAATTTTTTTTAAATTAAAGTTGATAGAGCTGCAGACGCAGTCCCACCCTGCAGCCCCCCAGCAGGCGAGGGCGCACACACACACACACACACACACACACAGAGCACTTGCTGCTCTGGAGCTCATGGGGCCTGCAGTGTCAAAGATGGCTACTGCCCTTTGCCACGCCCACTTCTTCCCCACTTTATTGTCTTTTTGTCAGAATTAAAGTTTAAAAATGAAAATGAGAATATTCTCCGGCTGCGGCCTGGTCCTGGTGAGCTCGTGGTCGCTCACAGGCGGTGATCCACGCACCTGGAGACGCGCGAATCCACCCAGTGCTGCAGTGCCTAAGAAGTGGGTGTGATGCCCTGTTATTGCAAAAGGAGCATAAAAGTAATAAAAGTGTGGTTTCTTTTTGGTCAAAGTGTGAAATTATGGTATATTTCATTAAAGTGGAGCTTATGTGATGTCCACGCGTGGTGATTTTTGACCAAAAATCGATAAAACTCGGTTGCCTCTGAATATTCAAATTGAAAGTAACGCGCAATCAAATCATTGTCAAATCATTGAGTTCTAGGGGTTTTAAATAGTAGGCATGGAGCGAGAAATTCTCAAACTAATATGTCCACAGCTATATTACAATATTGTTGTATGCTCTGGCTCTAGTGTGAGGCATTTGTGTTGAGATTTTTGAAGACTTTTGCACAAATTTCGTTCTTGGCCATTTTGCTGAGACAGAAAAGGACGTTGTGGAGTGCCACAGGTCTTCTCCAGGGAACCTTCCTTCATCTCTTCCATCATGTCTGGTGAGTTTTTCACTTCGGATTTTCGCGTGGAAATCAATACTTTTGCTTCTTTATTTCCTAAGGAGACAAAAAGAGAAAAGAGGAGGGAAAAAAAAGAGAGTTTAGTTTAGTGGCAGAGGATAAACGCACCAGGAGAGACGCGTGTGAAGATAATTAAAAACAATTTCTTCTTCAGTGTTGTTTTTTTTTTTACTGAATGACAGAAAAGTCAAATATTTACACAGAATGAGAGCTTAAGTCAAAGTCAAAGTGTGAATACGGTGCCGTTTATGCCACACGGTTCTCTCCACTATCAGCACAGTGTACTTTCACCTCTCTTTGTACAACTCCTGCACAACTTTTATCAACTTTTTTATATTTCGTTCGCACTTGACACCGGCCGCTGACAAGCGCTGTGGTGCACGCGGTAACATTTGAAATAACTTTTTTTTTTTTAACTCCAAGTAAATACTTGTAAGAAGCGGATCTAACGTTTGGGTCCATATTAATGGGCTGCTTCTGTGTACAGCACGTCGTTCACAGTAACCGCGCCGAAGTGGGATGTGTCTGCTGTGTAATTTTGGCCCGACTATTTGACACATTTAAGACAAACCGTGAAGAAGCATTTAGATGTATGAATATTTATCAGATGATGTTTCGCAGCCGCGGCACCGTCTCTTATCAAATCGCCTTTTACCAAACGGCTCGCCACTCCTGGGCGAACCAAATGACGCATTTGGTTCCAAATTACGCGCGCCTATGCGAGGCGTCCTCTATGTTTCCCTAATTAAGCTTCACCTATAGGAAAATTAAGGACACTCTTCTGTTTCAGTATCAAAATAATTCCACTGCCACTTTTACAGAGTGGGGGCTGGGATCATTTGAATAAAACTGCGGAGTGACGGGACACAGTCCGGGTTAGGTTACACACAGAGAGAGAGAGAGAAAAAACCAAAAGGTAGAATTCGAGATGGTTTTTCAAATCGTCCAAACACCAAAAGCGACTACTCGGCTGCGATCGAACCCGAACCTCGGCGAACTTTAAGTCACAGTCAGCGTCCACTGACGGCTGTAAACACGGAACACGAATGCGATTATTTGGCTGCGTTTTCCACAAATCGGCTACGGTTTTTCGATTTAAAAGCTGCACCGTGTAAACCGATGCACGAGTTCGACTTTACACGAGAGTTTGGAGACATTGAAAACCGTCAGTTTTTCGGGGTTTCAGCCACCGATCGCTCCATTTTTTTTATATTCTCCGGCTTTTAGATCGTCTTTGTGTGACTTCAACAAAGACACTGACGGCGCGTGTTTCTACTTCTACAAACCGAGCGATCGGCTCTACCTGCTGCTGCAAAAACACCGCGATTTCTTCACATTTTGCGTTTACGATCAAAGTTTCGACTTACATTTTTGCATTTAGGCCGGTGTTTCCTTCTTGTTTTTGCCCTGGACACGGTGCCTGGTGGACCCGGAACACACACACTCACACACTCACACACACACTCACACACACACACCCCAGGGTGCGGCACAGGAGTCGGCGTAAAACGAAGCGCTGAGCTCTGCCGTAAAGAGCGAGCCGTGAATAATGAATGTGGCCGGGACAGGATGAGGGGAAGCCGGGGCAGTAGTTCTCACATAAAATAAAAAATAAATAAATAAATAATGCATTAAAGCTAAATGAAACCATTGGCATGTTTTGGATTTTATTTCGTGTATTTTATGCTTGTGTGACGTAAAATATCCCAAATCAGATCAGTTGAAACGGCGTCAGGGTTTGACGCTGTTTTGGGAATTTAAATCATGAAAAATAGGTTCTTAGAATTGGGGTCAGTGCCTGTTATTGTCTCCCACTGCTTGGTAAACATGAGCTGAATGACTGGACCGTCTCTTTATCCAGAAAACAACAAGCCGCGGGTGTACCAGGGTGTCCGTGTGAAGACCACTGTCAAAGAGCTGCTGCAGAGGCACAGAGCCCGTGAGGCCAACAGCAAGAAGCTGAAGATGGTAAAGGACTGCAGCACAGACACCCACCCACCCACCCACCCTCACACACCTCCGCCTCGAATGCGTCAAAAACTGCCCGTGATAGAAAAGATAATAAAGAAAAACCAAGAGAAGTCATTTACAGTCCAGTCCTGATCATTTTTTCACCTTTTCCCGTACATTACCAAAAATCTGTAAAAGAAAAAAAAATATCCCAAAGCTAAAATTCATTCCAAAATAATTAAATCAAAAAGTCCAATTCGAAAAATCCATATTTTCTCCTGGTTTCGTTTTTTGTTTTTATCCTGGAAAGATTTGGGAGGAAAAATTAAACCCTACAGGACTGAAATAGAAAAATAGGACAGAAAAAAAGTAGAAGAAAAGAAATGAGGAATAAGACAAAGAATGAAAAACGTTTTTTAAAAACAGTCATAATTTGATCCTTTTTTAATTAAAAAAAAGAACGAAAGGAAGAAGAAGAAAAGGGAATGAAAAAGAGATCAAAATTCCTAATTTTCTCTTGCTGACGTCCGAACCTTCCAAGTCCGAACAACAGCCAAATTCAACTTCAATTAAATCAAAATACATATATTCCCTTGTCCTACTCATCATACAGGAAAAAAACTTAAACTAAATTCGTCGTCCCATATTTCAAAAAAGTTGAAATCCTCGTTACTCTCTCTCTCTCCCTCTCTTCCTACAGAACCGCATTTCTTCTAAAGATAAAACTTCACAAAGTCAACAAAGACTGATTTGAAAAATAACGAATTTTCCCTTCTCTTCCTCCTCCTCCTCCTCCACTCTCTCCCCTCTCCTCTTCTCCTCCTTCCCTCTCCTCTCATTCCTGATGGGCAGATTTCCCAGGCGTGTCTGGAGCTCCAGGATCTTTGTCAGTCCACTTTCCCCAGTAAGTCTGCTCTATAACATCAACGCAATATTCCAGGCCTGCTGTGGAATGGTGAGCCCACAGTCACGGCTCCACCCTGAGCCGTGGAAACAGTACAGCAGCTGTACACGGCGCCCACTCATGTATATATAGATGGAGCTCCGCTATTTGAAATTACGCGTCCAAATTAGCATGCAGACGTGCGGCTCCAGCTGACACGGGTTAACATGTGTTGGCTGTTGGAGCTGTGACGTCACCAAGTGCAACTTGCATATTTAAATGTCTACTGTCGCTCGATTGCAGAGCTCTATTCTTTGTAATGCGTAATGTGTCCATTCTGGTGCGGGGATGAGATCAGCGGCGATATTGTGACTGACGCGATTTCGACGTTCTACCGTATCAGTGCTTGTGAACTTATTCGATCCCTTTCGATTTTGTTTTCAGACACAGTCATTCCGTCAGAACGGTACGTGGATCCTCCTCCTCCTGCCATCACCGCAGCGAACGCGAGCAGCTGTGGCGGACACAGCGTCCAGATGCGCACCGCTCACTACCAGGCTGCTGACACTTCCTGCAGCATCCAGCTGCAGGGAGACGCGTTCAACGACACCCAGACGCATTTTGGGGGCATGTGGTTTCACAACAACAACAACAACAACAACCACAGCATCGGTGGTGGCAGCGTCTACAATATCAACCCCACAAAACAACAACAACAACAACAAAAGCAGCGGCAGCGGCAGCTCCCTGTCTCCCTCCCATTCCTTCCCTCTGAACTGGTACTATGGACTGTCTTCAGATGCGGACTACTATGGACATGGAACGGTAGGTTTCAACCACTGCTCACAACAAATCTAGTCTCTACACCAGACTGAACCAGCTGATAAATGAGTAGTAAACGTCCTGAACGTCGTAGTCTTTTCCAAATGACCTTCTTATAAATACAAGCAAGTAAACATTTAGTCTGCTTCAAAAGCATGTCCATTCAAGACTTAGGTCAGGGGTCACCAACCTGGTGCCAGGGGGGCACTTAGTAGCCCCCGTGGACTACCAAAGGTGCCCATGGGATATGTTCTAAAAAATAGAACCAGTCAACAAGAGGGTCACTGTTACTGGTAAGAAGAGTTTCTGCCATTTTATGTCCCAGAACTGATCATTATTACATTGTTCTGGAAGTCTGAATCAAACAAGTAGCTCCTTGGAATACTTAGTGCCCTTGAAGTAGCTCTAAGTTTCAAAAAGGTTAGGTGGAAAAAGACCTTGACATGAACATTCACTCCTGTCAATCATTATTATATATATTTTTAGAGTTTCATCCTAAAAAACATGGATTCAGTCCTGGATGTAAATTAGGAGAATCCTCTTGTTGAAGTCTGCAGTAGTGGTTGTAAATATGTGTAGTAGTACACAATACAAAGACCTTGACAATACAGGAGGCAGAGCTGGAGGTGACAGAGGTAAAGATGCTAAGATTCTCTTTAGGAGTGACAAGAATGGACAAGATCAGGACTGAGGTCATTAGAGGGACAACACAGACAGGAAGGTTTGGAGAAAAGGCTAGAGAAGCCAGATTGAGATGGTTTGGACAGGTGCAGAGGAGGGACAGTGGATACACTGGTAGAAGAATGTTAGAGATGGGGCTACCAGGTAGGAGACAAAGAGGAGATATATGGATGCAGTGAGGGAGGACATGCAGAAAGTTGGATTCAGAGTAGAAGATACAGAGAACAGGGAGAGATGGAAATCAATGATTCGCTGTAGCAACTCCTGAAAAAAGGGGACAAAGCTGAAAGGAAAAGAAGAAGTACACAATACAAAGTAGTACAACACTTACATTAGTCTACAATGTCCACCTGCACTGTCTTTAACTGAGGTAGCTGTGAATATGTGTCCCAGCTGCGGTGAAACACAAACACCACTCCCAGCTGTGACTCCAACGGCTGCGGCCGTGTGACGTTTCTGACGTCCATTCAACCGTCTGTCAAAATCCCAAATCCTCACCAGAACTTCTGTGCTTCCAGGCTCCAGTTTTTCCGGCTGAGATTCAGAAGCTCTGCAGCCCCCTGGACTGTAACAGCTACTCGCCACAGGACTCCTTCTCCTCCTCTTCTTCTTCCTGCTATGATTCACCCACCAGAATAGAGTCCAGTCACCAGAGCTTTGCCTCGGAGCAATACCAGCACTACCAGCAGTGCAACCACCAGGACTGTTACTGCCTGCCCCACTGCTGGTCAGGGCAACAGGACGGCTTCTCTGGCCCCGAGTGCACGTCCTATTCCAGCAGCACAGACTATCCCTACACCTGCCTGGTGGAGGAGAACTACAGGAGAGATTTGCAGATGAGCCCAGAGATGTGTTACAATGTGCTATGATGTGACCTCCGCCAGCGCTGTGGTGTCCCGGCCTGTACATACGTCGTTTTCCCCATTTCTCTGCTCTTACTGCTCCGTGCTTCTGCAGAATGAGAACGAATGGCGACCGCTGTGTAAATGAAGAGATTTTTGTATCGTGTTCTATGTTTTTTTGTTTTGTTTTTTCCCCCCTGTGTTTTAATAGGTAGATTTATTTTCTTACACGTGATTTGTTCCAGTACTAAATAAAGTGTTGAACGCACAACTTCTGTCCCTGTGCTTTAGATTCCATCAAAATAATAAAACCTGAAAATCAATGGAATTCAATGACCAAACATACACATACACCTGGTGTGTAAGGTAGTAATACTCAAATATACACTCAAATATATTTTGACTGGATATAAAACCCTCCAACTGCCTTTAATTCAGCAGTGAAAATAACAAACAGCTAATATATTAATACCATCAATAATAACACTGTACAGAGGCAGTGCTGCTGTTAGCACGCTAATGCTAATGCTACGTTGTGGGCTCAGCCGCTGTCGTAATCTATGATGCCATTGGACAGTTATAAATACCTGTTTCTCTCTGTTATGTTTATAAATGCTACTCCTCGTTTAAAACAACTGACATAAAAAATGAAACGTTACGTCATAAAGTAACCAGAGTGTCACATGTGAGTTTGAGGTCTATACCCAGCTGTTTTCAATTCTAATCAAATGTACAGTTGCCGTAAACTACATTTTTATTTTGACACATATAACGATATTCTTATTTTGCTTGATGTTAATATTTTGAGTTTAATTTTCTGTTTATTTTAACGAGGTAAAAGTCTGTTGCTGTCTCTTTAAATTCTTAATTCCTGGTTAAATCATCATCAGTGCTAGATTGTTCTAGAAAAGTCCGTTTGTCACCTCTGGTTTAAAGGTAGTAAAGTAAAGGTACTACGTAGATCCTACACAATTAGAATTGTGATGGAAGGAGGTGAGTTAATACATGACTAACTACACAGGAAGTACAGCACTGACATATCATTTTATATTGAACACCTTTTCACTCAAGGCTAAAAATGTGCAGCTATTAAAAATAATCAGGAGGATTTAGCTGGAAAAGCTAAATGTGCAAATACATTTGGTAAAGAGGTAAAGAACATCCTGATCCCACTTTCCAGCATTAGAGCTGTTTAAACCCACAGTTTGTGAGTTGTGGGTTACAGTGTGTACCTTTCTGTGACCAACCGAATTGTCATTGTTAATGCAAATGCAGATCAATATCTGACACTTTGGGAAGTTATAAAAGCTCCAGCTAACTGAGTCCAGTGGGGATAACCAGACAAACACACAGTTTGCTCAGCACTGTCCTTGTTTAGTGAGGAGAATGAATGTTTTGTAAAATGCAACTAATTTTGTGAAATTTTCAAAAACACTCGTTCAGGTACGAGAACATGAACTTCTCTCCATGCTCAGTATTTTAAAGAACGTCAGCATTTAAGAAGTATTTAAGGTGAAATTACATTATGATCAATGTCTCTAACCCCCCCCCTCGCCACCCCTCCCTTCCACAATACGCCCCCCCAACCCCATTTCTTTAATTTTAAACTGATGCGTCCTCATAATTTGCATATCTCGGTCTCCTAGAGCTTCGTATTCAAATCTGAGTTCAGCATCGGATGTCAATGGCTGCTGTGATGTCAGGTGACAAAACAATAATTCATCTACTGTATTATTTTAAACAGACATGGCTGTCAATTGGCAAAGACTTTAAAGGATGTTTGAGTATTTATTTGTACATGGGCAGTATGTGGAGCACAAAAAAAACAGAAAAGACAATAAGAAGATTTCCCCCCACTGCTTACAGTGGAAATGAATAGAATAGTCTTTACAGTTATTGTCCCAGGGCGTAGCACCAAATTGAGAGCGCTACCACAGAGCGCCAGAGAAAATTTCAATTAAAACGACAAAAACAACACAAGGAAAAACAGTAGGTCAGATTAAAAGTATTCACAGATGTCGTGAGTGAAAATATATGCTCTCACTTAGCTAATACGTGCTCTTTCTCTCTATTAAACTGAGCACCAACAGTGTTCTCAATAAATTATTATTTAAATAATAATTATTATTAATTAAAAGTAGGCTCACTATGTTCTGCATCGGGTCAAATACAGTCCACCCGGTCAGTTTGTGTGGCCCACGGGAGCTTGAAAAGTCTTTAATTGCCTTATATTGAATATCCAAGTTGCTCAGTTTCTAACTTGATATTTTTTTAATTATTCTTCAGTTCACATTATGCACAAAAGACCTATATAAACTAGAAACATGGTTATACAAAAAATGAATGAAGTTAATGTACAACGGCTGTCCCAAGATGTGGATCAACATGTGCTTTTATTTCTTCAATTCACAAGGATTTTTAATTTGTTTTCATGGAATATAATTCCAATAAAATAAAGTCGAATCATTCCGACCTGTTCCTGCTGCACATATATATACTAATCATTATGTACAGAAACATGGTTATACAAAAAATGAATGAAGTTAATGTACAACGGCTGTCCCAAGTTGTGGATCAACATGTGCTTTTATTTCTTCAATTCACAAGGATTTTTAATTTGTTTTCATGGAATATAATTCCAATAAAATAAAGTCGAATCATCCCGACCTGTTCCTGCTGCACATATACTGTATGTACTAATCATTTTTATGATATTGTATTATGACATGTATTATGAAATAAGTTACAGAGCAGTAGTTAATTCAATATAAGTGATTTTGGAGATCCAACCATTAAAAACATCCTTATTTCAGCTGTAAATAAAATTTAAAAAAAAAACTCTAACTGCTGTGGCCTTGCTCTGCGGTACTGATGATAATTTCTTTCAGCAGTTGCCTCTCCATCCTAAGCCTGACCCAGAGCGACGTGTCAGAGACGTAATCCCCTGCAGGGCACACAGTGACTGGTTGCAGACAGAGACAGGTGTGGGGCTGTGGGGCATCAAAGTAAAACAGCAGGACAAGGTGAGGCTCCTAACTCACATAAAGAATTACAGACAGATCAAGATCAGGTCCGCCCAACGTAATCTGTCTGCAGCTCCTCTCCTCTCTGATTGCACAGTGTCAACAAGTAAACATGTCAACAGGCTCAGGTCTCAGGGTGCATGCTGCTGTTACATTGTTGAGGGACTGGCAAATTGCTCAGCCAGCCCATGTTTGTGTGTTTGTGTTTATTTGTTGTTGCAGTGCTTTATCCCTTCAGGTGTTTGATATGAATCTGGTGGTAATCCATACGTGAAGGCAAGAGGCTGATGACTCACAGTGGGCTGAGGTGAGGGGTGTGTGAGGGTTTTTGTTTTTGGTGTTGATGTTGGTGCTTGTCAATGTTTCAGTGATATTAATACTACAGTATAGTTATAATTAGAAATTAATTATATATATAATACATTTTATGTGTGTATATATATATGGTATTTCTATATTTAAATATATATACATATATGTTTATATATGTATGTATGTATGTATGTGTATGTATGTATATACATATATGTATTTCTTACTTGGACAAAATATATTTAATTCTAGATTTTTTTTTCTTCTTTCAAGCAGGTTACAGGTTAACAAAATTCTTGATTTTCAGGCTACTAAAGTTGCTTTTTTAATCATGAGTTAATGTTGGGTTTGGTTAATGTTATCCCAGTAAGAAGCTAATCAAATTGTTTATTCTTGAGCTGCTTATCACAGGAAGTCTCTCTCGGCAGGATGAACGCAGCACTGCCACAGACATATGAAAAAAAATGAAGAAACAAAACAAGCTGTGACCAGTACAAACAAACATTTGTTCTCATCGAGTTACACCGGCTATCATTAACTGCCACCTTCTTAAATGTCCTGATAAAAGCACATGCTGCTCTACGACTACTCCGTTCCTCAATAATAATACCGTCGAGCAGTTCCAAAATCCCAAACAAGACAATCCAGACTGTTCTCGTGGATTGTTCCACCCTGGTGGATTGACTTGAAAAGCTTTTCCAGATAAAGTAATATTCACTTCAGATTATCTTAAGTTTGAGCAATTACACTGCCTTTTCTGAGTAATGAGTTCTCCACCTCCTTTAAATGACCACAAACTGACTTTCCCTAAGTCTATAGTGTTGTGTTGCCCAAGGGTCCAGCCCCCCCATGCCCCCCCCCATGACATAGGCCTGCTTTACATGTTTTAAGGGACAGTAAAAGTTATGCCTGATTACCGCTACGCCTCTTTTTGGAGGGAAAACGTAATGTTAGCGCAGCAGTTCTCATTAGAACGAACAATGGCAGTAGTACTTACTTTGCATAAGAAACACAATTTTCAGAGCCATGCTTGCTTACGGAGGCACATCGCAATGTTATAAGCACATATGTTAGCCACTAATCTACTAATTAAGAAAATGGCCACAAACGACCATTTTCACAGTGAAAAACTCTTTGTTTTTTAGTTTCCTGTGCAGCCTGAAATCACTCATAAATCACTCAATGGCACCTCCCGTGGCAGCCTGTGTTAGTTTCAGAGACTTGCAAAAAAAACGTATCCATTGGCGGATAAATATGGGACTCTATTATTATTATTATTAAAGATTTGAAAACACATTATAAAACTATTCATTCAGGTATAATTGTGATTTAATGGATCAATGCTAACAATTAGGATTTCCGATCTGTTTGAATGTTCTTGTTACACTTAGATAGTCATGTCACCGATGTACAACAAGGATTAAAGTGTCTCTTAACATCAGGTGTGAGCTATGGTAGAAGTTTCACTGAGATGAAGAGATTGGCGCAGAACCTAACACTTGAATTCAATTAGCCGAGGGCTTTGTGTGATTCTGTATCAGTGGGCTTTTTGTGGATTCTAGTGACCCCTCGACATCATCACCATCAGCATTATACTTTGTTAACATCACTGCTTCAAAGGCGTTTCTGTCCTCATTCGGACCCCAGACCCCATTTTCTGTTTGCTTGGGTGAGATTGATATCTGCCTGACTGAAAAGATGACAATCTTGTGAATAAAAGTGAATAAACAACTGCTTATCTCCAAACAATGACCTAGAACTTTCTGACTCAGTCACTCAGTCTGGCCACGCAGTCACCAGGTTTGTAGTTCAGAACTTCCCACGGTTGGTACTTACTGCTAGGAACTTGAGGACAGTGTCCAAAGTAACTAACAGTACAGAAGACACAATGTTGACATGCTGAGCAAGAACGAGTGGGCAAAGTCATTATAGCATTAGTTAATACTTATTTAATAAATAAATCTTTTTTAAAAAAGCACATTAAAATACCTCACATCCTTAGAAGTTATTTTTTATTTTATTTTTTTATTTTGCTATAATCTTTTCATTGAGAACTGCTC